ATGTAAGAATGCACAAACACACATATAAATCTGTTCTGCTTGCTTTCCTCCACCATAACGGCTGATCGAGTCCTTATATCTATAATTTCGAATAGTTGAGTGAACCAACACTTTAAGAAACTTGCATGTACTTTACGATTTTCCTCTTCGCTTCCTAGTACGGTCAGTCATATCAGTGAGTCAAGAGATTTTCCTTTGAATATTGATACCGAAGACGACTAGAAGGAAGGTCGTCTTAGAATATTAGGAGATAAGACTCCCTCTCTTCCCTCCTCTCGAGCTGCCCTCCACCCCCCTCCCCTTCCCTCTGCCTGCCCTCCACCCTCTCCCCTCCCCTTCCTTCCGTCTGCCCTCCACCCCCTCCCCTCCTCTTCCCTCTGTCTGCCTTCCACCCCCTCCCCTCCCCTTCCCTCCCCTTCCCTCTGTCTACCCTCCACCCCCTCCCCTCCCCTCCCCTCCCCTTCCGTCTGTCTGCCCTCCACCCCCTCACCCCTAGACCACACCCCTGCATTTACCATCTACATGCACAATACAAGCAAAACAGTACCATGACATTCTAATACAATTACCTCTACCTTTTCCCTGGCATTTATAGTATCTATCTATCTGTCTATCTATCCAAATATCTATCTATCTATCTACCTATCTACCTTTCTATCTATAGCAAGAACAAGACATATAGTATGGAGTAATATTTACATCACGAGTATTTACTAGTTACTTATACAACCAATTAAGCCAAGGAGATGCGCAGGTGCTTCTCCACAACACTCTTCAGACTTATCATTTTACACGTCTACAGAACCCGTCATGTTTATCAAATGTTATCGCTTTCATTATCCGGAGTTTCATAGCGAATTATGGGCTGATTACCGCGGCGCGTTTTGAGTGTGTGTGTGTGTGTGGGCGTGGGGGTGTTTGTGTTGGTGTTATCTGTGGAGTGCGGATGTAGATAGAGACAGATGGATAGATAGATAGAAGGGCGGGGGGACAAACGGACAAGTAGACAGACTGACAGATGGACGGACGGGCAGACAGGTAGGAAAACAGACTGACATTCATACATGCATACAAACATACATACATACATACATACATACATACATACATACATACATACATGCTACATACATCCACACACGCACAAACACACACACACACACACACATATTCGTACACTCACATCCCTCCACACGCACATTCTCTGATATAACTGAATAAAGACATATCTATCTATCTATTATCTGTGTATCTATCCAAATATCTATCTATCTATCTACCTATATACCTTTCTATCTGTAACAAGACACAACAAGGAATACTATAATTGTCACGAGTATTTACTAGTTACTTATACAACCAATTAAGTGATAAAGATCGTCAGAAGACAATAGAAACAAAAGGAAAAGAGAAAGAAAGAGAAGAGAGAGAGAAAGAAGAAAGAAAATAAGAAAAAGGAAGAATAAATAAATAAATAAATAAAGAAAAAACACACAAACACCAAAAACGAGAAACTACGAATTGATAAATGGCATAGGATGAAAAAACGAAGAATAAAGAATAATAACGAAGAATAATAATTTGATAATAACATCAAAAGAAAGAATTGCTTTTGAAGAGAAAATCAAAGAAGCAGATATACTGTATCTCCAAGATGTCTTCTTATAAGATTAAGATTAAGTGAATAGTCGATATACGTGACGTTTTGACACATGAGATCACTTTTCTGGCTCTTATCTTTGTTCTAATCTGTTGTAGTTTGTGAAACGTCGTAGAAGTGCGCTCTTACGGACACAAAATACATGCACGTTCACATTCTAACGTTCGGATGCATATACGTGTGTAAAAAAACGGAGAAAGAGGTACATGTAGTATTTCTCTCTCTCTTTCTCTCTTTCTTTCTCTTTCTCTCTCTCTCTCTCTCTCTCTCTCTCTCTCTCTCTCTCTCTCTCTCTCTCTCTCTCTCTCTCTCTCTCTCTCTCTCTCTCTCTCTTTCTCTCTCTCTCCCCCCCTCTCTCTCTCACACATGCACATTTTCCTCACTGTTTCTGCATTTGGCCATAATGACTTTGATAAAAAAAAAAAAAAAAAAAAATAGTAATGCAACCCATAAAGCTCTGTGAGAATAAATCATTTCCTCTCGCAGGTAAGAGCAGATGTCGTGAAAAACAAACAAACAAACAAAAAGAACAACATATCAACGAATGCGGGATTATTATCATATTCATTTCTGTTATTATGATATCTATTATCATCTTATCATAATTTTAATTGATTTTATCATTATCTTATTATTATTTTTTAAATTTTTTTATTATTACCATATTTATTATTATCATCTTATCATCATTTTTATTATATTTATCATAATCATATTCAAATTTTTTATAACTTTTATTATTACCATATTTATTATTATCACATCACTATTTTTATTAATATCACATCATCATAAAGAACTGAAAATATCATATAAGCGAATGCACAAAGGAGGGGAGGGAGGGGGGTATATCCTGTTTATTAATCATGGAACGTTCAGTAAGCATACCTAACATTTATGCTGTGCTTTGGAGTGTCGTGTTTGGGATGCAAAGAGCCTGTCCCCTAAGCTGAGAGCCGGTGTTTGGTCTGACTTTATCTCATGTTTATATTATGATGTCGAAACTGGAAGGGAGGGGGGGGGAGAAGGTGTGTCTTTATTTGCCTGGATGAGACTGTAGGGTTTGGTGGTATTAGATGTTCGGTATGTATGTTGATTTCGTCTCTTTGTCTCTTTCTCTCTCTCTCTCTCTTTGGGTCTCCCCCCCTCTCTCTCTCTTTGGGTCTCTCTCTCTCTCTCTCTCTCTCTCTCTCTCTCTCTCTCTCTCTCTCTCTCTCTCTCTCTCTCTCTCTCTCTCTCTCTCTCTCTCTCTCTCTCTTTCTCTCTCTCTCTTTGGGTCTCTGTGATCGTTATTTGTATTTTCTCTGTTCGTTATTAGATTTCTCTCATTTTTTTTCTCTCCCTATTTTCTTGTTTTCTCTTCTTTTTTTTCTCTCTCTGTGTCTCGCATTCGTTTGTCTTCCTGAATTTCCTGGATGAGACTATAAGGTTTGCTGGTATTGCGTGCTCGTTGTCTGTGTTGATGTAATTTCTCTGTTTATTTGTTTGTTTGTCTGTTGATGTTGCGTGTTCTGTCTCTCCTTTTCTTGTTTTTTTTTTGTGTTTTTTTTCTTTACTTCTTCGTTATTTGTTTTGGTGTCATCAGTTTTTCTTTCTTTCTCTTTTTCTCTACCAGTTCTCATTCTCATTCTCTTAACTTCCTATATCCCCGTCTCTCTCTCTCCCCATAGTCCCAGCCACCGGGCTAGTTCAGTGGTAACGTGTCGGCCTTTCATCCGAGAGGTCGGCGGTTCGCATCCCGTCCCGCGAGAAGGTGCAATTGTCGCCTGGAGGTTCCTGCTGCGGCTGGGCACCACGGCGGGTAAGGACTAAGCCGAGGCAGCACCAGCTGACACACATTAGCGAGTCGGCATTAGTGGACACAGGCCGGGCTCCCCTCATAGCCCGGGCGAGGCTCAGCTTCGCATATCGGACTTATCCTTATCCCATAGCCCCCCTTCTCTCTCTCTCTCTCTCTCTCTCTCTCTCTCTCTCTCTCTCTCTCTCTCTCTCTCTCTCTCTCTCTCTCTCTCTCTCTCTTTCTCTCTCTCTCTCTCTCTCTCTCTTTCTCTCTTCCCCTCTCTCTATGTATCTGCCTGACTGTCTGTCTGTCTGCTCTTTTTTCAGCAAAATATATTTTATAATGTAAATATATACATATACATTATTTTCTTTTAGTGTATAGGAATATTTGCAATACGGATATATCTAAATCTTCTTAACAGATTCTGTTTTATTATTAAGCATAGATATTACATAAATATGAATAAATAAATACATAAATATAGATGAATAAATAAAATATATAAAAACAAAACAGAAATAAATATTTAATATAATAAAATATGTAAACGAAAAAAAAAAAAAAAAAGTAATCTGTTTTGTATGACAATCTCCTCACTTTTATTTACATATCTGTTTATCTTCTATTTACTTGCTAATCTATTCGTATATCCTTTCAAGTTCAGGCTTTAATGATTTCGAAAACATCATGTCTGAACATT